GGGGGGGTCTTGTTAAACCCATTTGCAGACTAGTACTTGTCAGAAGTGTTGATGGAAAACTTTCCTTGGTTCAATGTATGAGCAAAGGCTAGCAAATTGGGAATGTACAGAAAAACAAGGACCGGGGAGAAAAGAAGGTAACAAATGTTCCAAACCTGGAGCATTTGGGAGGGAGTTGCCTTTGGAGAAAGGTCGGCGATGGCTCTGAGTGTCTGCAGGCAATAGAGATGCATGGCAGAGGTTATAGGTTTGATTTTCCACAGATGGGTCTGAGGACTTGGTTATTAATAGTAGTCTCCTCAGTCCTAGCAAGTACAGACAGAATTGTATCCATGACTGAATACCATCAAGAAGAGTTTTGATTGGTCCAGAATTTGTTGTGCAGCGTGACTATGAGTGCAAATATACAGCCAGAGTCAGAATTATCTTCAGCCACAAAAACATGGAGTCCTGAAGCAGATGGTGTGCCCTCTGATCTCACAGTCGTCTGGGATTATTGTACATGGAAAAAACAAATGAGACAAATGAGTCTACGTTTCTTTTGTTTGCTGCACTTTACGTAAATGAGGGTAACTAATAAATAATTATTGTTCAAAGTAACCTCACTTTGCAAAACTAAGTATTTCATTGAGCATTTTTGGTTTCCATTAACTGATACTGGGTTTATGAGGCAATACAAAGATGCCTTTGGTAGTGCAAATGTTAAGCCTAACCCTATAATCTTTCATGTGACCATAGATCACATGGGGGGGAAAAAACAAAGCCATGAAAAAAGAAACAGGCCTAGAAGGGATCTAAAATGGTTTTGCAGCGTGTAATATGACATGGCCGGTGTCTGCTGCATCATCCAGCTCTCCTGGCAGCTGGATGATGTCTGGCGCTGATGCTCACTTTTATGCGCTGTTGGCTGCGTACTGTCATTGATGGTTATTTCGCGATCGTGCAACATCATGCATTACACATCAAAGCAGCGTGATAACGAGCAGCATTGCTGATTTTCTTTTCCTTGTCTTATATCCAGGTGCAAAGTGACGGTAATTATCTGTTCTCCTATCCATCTCCTAATGTGAGAAGGAAATTTCTGATGTGTCTATCAGAAGCTGCTAAACCCCAAAACTAGTCTGTTTAGAAAAGAAAACACAATTAAAGTTAACATCTGGACATGATGCAGATACTTTTCTGAATTTCAAATAAAGGGCCAGCTGGAAATCTACAAACACGTCAGTCAAGTCTGTTTTGAAGACTTTGCATATACGCTGACTTTGACAACATTTAGACAAAAACAATTGAGAAAACACGGGAATAATGTTTCTTCACACTATAAAGTGAATTTCAGTGTCATTGTTAATTGTTGTGAATTTTTTTTAAACAGTTTTCTTTTTGATTCAGGATCACTGCAAAGTGCCAAATCCTCAGTGGAGAGAGAGGTTCACCTTCAAACAGTTTTTCAACAGTCCGGAATATCTGGAGGTGGAGCTCCGATCCAAGGAAGGACGAAAGGCTGCGGAAACCCTGGGGAAGTGAGTGTGTTCAGCTATTACAGTATTTATTTGTGTGTGCTTGCCCTTTAATTAAAATAAAAAGTGGTTTCTGGATTTATTTATTTATTTATTTAAATGAAAGCTCTTTGCATATTTTTTGTGTGTGTGTGTTTGATCTGGCCCAAACGTGTGGAACTTGTGTGTGTACAGGCGTTGCGTGAACATGTCAAAAATCCCTTTGGATCAAAGGCAATTGCTAGAAATGGAATATGGGGGAGGACACGTGTGTTGCCTCCTTACGCTGACCACGTGCGGTGGCGTCTCCATCTCCGACCTCTGTGCCCCACCACTCAGTGAACCCCAGGAACTTCAGAACCAGCTGGACAACTATGTCAGTATTTTTGCCGTTTAACTTCTATTTATACTGCACTCTACCACCAACGTGTTTAAATATATAAACACTTTAAAATGCCTTTTCACTTTGAACAAGCCTATTCTCTGCTCTCAGAATATCATTAGCTGTCATTGGCATCAA